TACTCCCCTTCTCTGGCTCTAGCAAAGAAGCCAAAGAGGATGGCAAGGAGTCATTTACTCCCATCCCAAAAACAATGGGATAAAGAAGCGGTAGCGCATAGAACCATGTTGGGCAGCTCTGTCCCCTTCAGGCTTAAGTAGAATGGAGCACTTCTGTGCTCCTTCCGTGGGCATGAGCGGATCCTGAGTCACATTCAGATGACCTCCACGTGGAAGGTCCTGCAAGGACGCACAAGGGATACTGGATCTGGCTGAAAACATTTTATCTATTTCCTAATTGTACAAACATAGCTTGTCCTCAAGACTTGATTATTCTGTGCAATTGTGACGTTCAGATGGTATCATTTTTAACAGTAACTATAATAGGAACTATGCAGACATCTCCCACTGTGTCTTGGTTGCTTGCCTTCCTTAAATGCCAAATAATGGTTTGCAGCTCTTGAAAACTGGAGACTTTGGAGTGAGACCAAACCCCCGGTCTACTTCCAAATTCTATCTTCTGACAGTTAGGTGCCATTTGGACATATCCATAACCAGCACATCCTCTTAAACATTGTGCTCAGCCCAGCATGTGTTTTTTAAACGTATGATTGAATTGTCCTCCCATTGATTTTGGCCTGTTACAGTTTTAGGTGGGGAAAATAATATTTTATAATAAACTATTGAGTCGTTTATCATTAAATTTGATTGCATAGTGTTAGCATTTTTCCTTACTGGATTTTATACCAAATGATAACTTCATCATTACTGTTCAATCTACTCTTGTTTGAAGATTTCTCAGTGTTCAATCTTCCCATAACAGTGATGTTTATCAGGGGTTGAGTAACATTTTCCATAAAGTTAAAGAATCTAAACTTAGTATTTAATGAGACCTTCCTTTGAGCTAAAAGCTACCTGTTCCTTTCTTAACCTACCTATAAAGGCAGCCTTTTTGGTGATTGTAATCTCTGCCCAAAGGGTCAGGGAAAAAGACGCTTTAATGGTAGAACTTCCATTACATATTTTTCAAGGGCAAATCTGTATTATGTCCACATCCTAAATTTTTACCTAAAGTATCATTTGAGTTTCACATCAACCAAGTCATCCCAATCCCAATATTGTTCCTGAAACAACATCAATACAAACGGGATGCTGCTGTACACATCTTGAACATTCGGAGGTCATTAGACTTTTATCTGAAAGGAACAAATGTAATTTAGGAAATCATCCAGACTGTTGGTATCAGTTGCTGATAGGTCCTGAGGATCTGCAGTCTCCACCTAGAGATTCTGCAGATGAATTTATGGTTGCACTTTATCTTCTTATGAATCTGCCAGTATACAACCTCCCACAAGAGTGCTAGCCTATTCTACAAGACAGCTCTCTGCTTTGAATTTCCTCTGTGTGATTTTGCAGTGGAGAAGAAACTGTGGGTGATTCACCCATAGAGCCCTACATAATTTTAGTGTGGAGGAGCACATGTGCTGACCGAACAGGTACTGCTACTGAAAATCTATGATTGAAGGCTCACTGGGCATGTGCGCACCTGATGTGGAGCATGTCTTGTGACATGTCTTGAAGAACTCCAGTTACTGCATAAGATGAGTAACCTCTCATTTTATTTCATTGGCCAGAGTTTTGATTTGATTCAAGGAACATACAGAATATAAGGCAACTTACTTATATTTTTAGAGTAGAACAGGCCTAATGCACCTGTCTTTCCCCATTAAATATTTAGGGAGCCTAGATACTTAACCCAGGCCTAATGAATTCTGATGATTTTCAAGGTGCCTAAAAATTAGGTGTTTCAACAACTAAGTCTCTTTGTGGATCTGATCAAAGGGCCTAATTGTGAAGGGCTTAGTATATTATATATTGAAACCTTGATTTTTATTCCTGCCCAGATAGACAGCAGGCTAGATTGTTGTGTTGGGATTGTCTCCTATGCCCTTATCCTAATGTGCAAGGGGAGCTGCAGAACATAAGAAAGGCCATACTGGGTCAGACCAATGGCCCATCCAACCCAGTATGCTGTCTGACAACCGTGGCCAATACCAGATGCCCAGAGGGAGGGAACACAACAGGTAATCCTCCCGTGAGCCCTCCACTGTCCCCCACGGGGAACACAACAGGTAATCCTCCCGTGATCCCTCCACTGATCCCCCACGTCCAGAGAAACAGAGCGAGGGACACCATTCCTACCCATCCTGACTAATAGTCATTGATGGACTTAACCTCCATGAATCTATCTTGCTCTTTTTTGAACCCTGTTGAAGTCCTAGCCTTCACTACATCCTCTGGCAAGGATACCTAGAGACTGACTGTGCGTTGAGTAAAGAAGAACTTCCTTTTGTTTGTTTTAAACCTGAGGCCTATTAATTTCATTTGGTGACCCCTAGTTCTTATATTGCGGGAATAAGTAAATAACTTTTCCTTATTTACTTTTTCCATACCAGTCATGATTGTATATACCTCTATCATATCCCACCCCTTATTCTCCTCTTTTCTAAGCTGAAAAATCCAAGTATTTTTAATTTCTCTTCATATGAGACCCGTTCCAGACCCCTAATCATTTTTGTTGCCCTTTTCTGAACCTTTTCCAATGCCAATATATCTTTTTTGAGACGAGGTGACCACATCTATGGGAGTACCATGGTTTTATATAAAAGCATTAAGATATTTTCTGTCTTATTCTCTATGAGTGGATGTTTTCAGAGAGCTATCCAAAATAACTCCAAGATCTCTCTCTTGAGTAGTTGTAGCTAAATTAGTCCCCATCATATTGTACGTATAGTTGGGATTATTTTTTCCAATGTTCATTACTTTACATTTATCAACATTAAATTTAATTTGCCATTTTGTTGTCCAATCACTTAGAAGAGTTGCAGCCTCTGGATCAGTTTAAAAGAAAGTTTGATAGGCTATAACCTGGTGAAGTTTGCATTCCAGAGAAACAAATGTAAGTTTCCTGATAAGTGTAAGGCAAGAATAACCACTCTTGAGCACTACTGCTATGTAAGTCTTCATAACAAAAAAACAGTCAGTTTTGAATGGGTTGAGTTTTGTATAAAGAAAAATGTCCATTATAGGGCAATTGATAAGGAGCTAGAATTGTGAATTGTAGTTTATTGAGCATATGAGCAATTTGTTTTGGTTAAGGAAAGATTGAAATCTTGATATTTGCTTCTAACAGTTCACACTGCTTTATTTTTCATTACCCAACAGAGACACACCTAATTTCCTGTTAGGTGTCTGTGTGGGCTACTCCAGTGTTTCTCAGTGACTGATTTGTAGACTGGTGCCAATTTCTGAGATCTTCCTGACAATTTAGGAAGGCACCAAGCAGGTATTCAAAAGTTTGAGAAACACTGATCCAGTCTAGCAGGTAGTTTCTGTATTTATTTGTGCAACCACTAGAGGGCATCCAAAACATTAAGGCCTACATTTTCAAAAGTGGCCTTTAGTTTTTGTGTGACCATCTTCAGCAATAAAGGGCATGATTTCAAGAGGTGCTGAACAGCAACAACTCCAGCTGAAATAAATGGGAGCTGCATGTGTTTGGTATCTCTAAAAATCAAGCCGAAAGCCAGTATTTTCAAAGGGGATGATTTGGGGGTACCTCAATTTTGGATGCCCAATTTGAGACTTCTAAGGGGGCCTGATTTTCAGATGCTGGATGCTCTGTGGCTTGTGAATACCAGACCTGTTTTGAAGGTATCACCTTTTTAAAGTATCCCCAAAATGGAGGCACCAAAAATTCCTAATCATTTCTGAAAATGTTGGCCTAAGTTTTAAAGTTACACATGCAAATAATAGTGGTCACTCTTGAAAATGTGATCCTGTATGCCCACAATTCTAAATTACACATGATTAACAAACTCTATAGGTAACATACTGTTAAATCTGGAGCATTAAAAACATTTGTAGCACCTTTCAGACAAGTAATCAAAGCACTTGATAAAGGAATGTTTTTAGCCCTATTTTAGAGGTAAAGACACTGGGAGCAGAGTAGTCAAACACCCATATCTCTTGTTGACTTCAAGGCAGAACATTTTCTGATAATCATATCTTTTGTGACTTTCAGAGCTGCACAGGGAGCCTGTGGCAAAACCAGAGATTCTGTGCCCCACAGACATAGTTCTGTCTGGGAATAGTTGCATCCCATAGAAAAAAAGCTGTAGAGCCTACTTTCAAAACTCAGAAAATACACAGAAATTGAGAGAGACATACAAAGCTAGCACATTTGTGTGACGGCCCTGTACTTCCATACAAGCTCCTACACACTCCCCTTGTTTCCTTAGCAGTCCCATTCCATTGCACCCATCCGATTAGGGATGCCATCTGATCCTAGCTTGCCTAGAAAAGATATCCCAGCTGTAATATCTTTCCTGGGGGAAACTTGCTGTGTCTGGATGAGTGCTGCATTCAACTCCAGACCAAAGGAGATTGCTTTGTGGAGTCCAAAGAGGGTGTAGGTGAGGATATAATGGAATGAAGATGTCTGGGCATTCTTTCTATGCAGAAATGGGGAGCTCTGTGCATGGAAGGTCCCATCAGTGCACACCTCAGACTCCACAACAGCATTTTACCTCTAAAGCTATTTGGTCTTAACTGTTGGCATGTAATCAGACTGTTATCACCATATTAGAGACCCATGCATGATTTCAAGCTGACAGAAAAAAGTTCAGTGGAATCATTGAACAATATAAGACAATAACAATAGTGCCTGTGTATCCCATGACTGTAACTGAGTAAGAAGACTTAGTGTCAACCCTTCTAGAGTTTTAACCTGGTTACAGAGATACTGTTGGGAAATGACTAGTGATTGCACAACACTTTTTTGCCATGTTGTAATCAAGTCGGGGCCGACCATACATGGTTATAGCTCAAGTGTAAATGTAATCAGTTCTTCCCCATTAGTGTAGGCTGTCACTTTAAATAGCCTTAAAACATTAGGCAGAGAAAGAAATATGATTAAAAGAAACCTCAAAGGTATGTATCTTTTTATTTTCAGAGTTACTTGGGAAGTAAGCATACAACATCCATTAACATCAGTGGTAGCTCTGTGCCTAAAATGTGTTACACTCTGAAAATGTAAGGTGCAGTGATAGAATAATTATTTCTGTGCCCCTTATTGAAGAAATCACAATAGTGCCAGGATGGCCTGTTTAGGATTGAGCTGTGCTAGGTGCTGTACAAACTGAATAGCAAACACATATTGTCTTCTAGGCTACTCTAGTAAAAGGCAAAAAGTAAAGAACTCATCTCCATTTGCAGCTGTACTTCTGTCAAGGGGACTAGTATTCAATTAAGCTAATGGACAAAATTTTCAGTATAGGTAAGAATGTGCTAGATACAGGATGTGATTCTAGAGCTGCTGCCTATGTATGACTCCTATGGAAATCAATAGGTGTTAAAATCATACTACTGCAAAATCAGGAACTCAAAATCCAAGTGATCAGAGAGCCATTCAAGGACCCTACTGAAACACAACTGAGCCAAACAGAAACAAAATTAAACATTTTATAAAAATCACCTATCTTTTAATTTTGTCAATTGAAGGATGTTATTATTTATACCAAAATGTGCATAACATTTTACAGTCTAGTAAAACACAACAGACAAAATGTAATGGTACACAACCAATCAGAGAATACTAGTAAATCTGGTTCATTGTCTCTGCTCAAATAGCTTGAAATATAAGTTAAGTCAAAAGTTACAGCCATAGGTGGCCTTGAATATTAAAGTATGCAGCATCAAAATTATGGAAGATATTTTTGGTTTGTTATTTATTTTAATATTTGGTTTCTAGGCTTGTCGAAGAAAAATGTTTTAAAAATCATGGCCCCTAAATGAGATATTCCTAAAAAAAAAAATGCAAATCTTCATGTTTGTCTTTTTCCTTATATTTCTCTCACTTCTTGATCAGCAGTTAAATAGTTAAGTATATTGCCATTTAAATGGTCATCACTGGTCATTTGAAAGTTTGTCTTCATGGCAACAATTAGGGGTTGTCTACATTTAAAATACATAGGTAATCCACCTCCACTCTATTGGAAAATTCTAGACATAGTGCTGGAGTTAGGTTGATTTTAACTGCATCATTCAGGAATATAGGGGTTTTTAACAACCCTATGTGATGTAATTATGCTGGCCTAATTCCTAGTGATGACCCAGGTTTTAATTTGCGTTCAGTGATTCTGAACCAGAGGGACACGTATCTCTCAGGGTATGCAGAGGTCTTCCAGGGGGTACATCAGCTCCTCTTGATCTTTGGCTAGTTTTACAATAGGGTACATAAATAGCATTAGCAAAGTCAGTACAAGGTAAAATAACATACAGGCAATGACAAGTTTATATGTACAATGTTTATAATCCAGTTGATTTATTTTATAGTTATATGGTAAAACAGAGAGAAAGCAATTTTTCAGTAATAATGTGCTGTGAAACTTTTGTATATTTTAGGGCTGTCAAGTGATTAAAATTGTGATTAATCAATGTTAATAGAATAAAATTAATGTAAATATTTTGGGTGTTTTCTATATTTTCAAATATATTGATTTCAATTATAACATAAAACACAAAGTGTAATGAGGTCACTTTATATTTTATTATAAATATTTGCACTTTAAAAGCTTTTTTTCAATTCAGTGAAATTCATCCTCCCTAATACAAGTACTGTGGTGCAATCTCTTTACCATAAACACTGAACTTACAAATATAGAATTATGTGCAAAAAAACTGCATTCAAAAATAGAACAATGTAGAGCTTTAGAGCCTACAAGTCTACTCAATTCTATTTCTTGTTCAGCCAATTGTTCAAACAAACAAGTTTGTTTACATATGCAGGAAACTGCCTGCTTCTTTTTCACAATGTCACCTGAAAGTGAGAAAAGGTGTTTCTATGGCACTTCTTCTCCTGGCATTGCAAGATATTTACATCCATGTCAGATGTGCTAAAAAGATGTATATGTCCCATCTTGCTTTAACCACCATTCCAGAGGACATATCTCCATGCTGATGACAGGAGTCTAAATTATAACAATCCAAAAAAGTGTAAATCATGTTCATTTTCATCATCAGATGTCACTAGCAGAAGGTTTTCTTTTTTGGTGATTTGGCTTCTGTAGTTTCTGCATTGGAGTGTTATTCTTTTTGAAGGCATGCCCCACACCTCAGATTTCTCAGATTTTGGAAGATGCTTTTGATTCCGAAACCTTGGTTTGAGTGCTGTAGCTATCTTTGGAAATCTCACACTGGTACTTTCTTTGTGTTCTGTCAAATCTGCAGTCAAAGTGTTCTTAAAATGAACATGTGGTGAGTCATCATCCAAAATTCTACATGAAATATATGGTACAATGCAGGTAAAAAAGAGCTAGAGACATAGAATTCTCTCCAAAGAGTTCAGTCAGAATTTTAATTAACACAACAATTTTTTTAACAACTGTCATCATCATGGAAGCATGTCCTCTGAGATGGTGGCTGAAGCATGAAGGGGCATATAAATGCTTAGCATATATGGCATGTACATACCTTGCAATGCCTTCTACAAAAGTCCCATGCAAACGCCTGTTCTCATTTTCTGGTGATATCAATAAAAAGTGGGCAGCATTATCTCCCATAAATGTAAACAAACTTGATTGTCTTAGTGATTGGCTGAACAAGAAGTAGGACCGAATGGACTTATAGGCTCTAAAGTTTTGCATTGTTTTGTTTTTGAGTGCAGTTACGTAACAAAAAACCTATGTTTGTAAAGTTGCACTTTCATGATAAAGAGATTGCACTACAGTATTTGTATAAGGTGAGTTGAAAAACATTTTTAAATCATTTCGAAGTTCAAATATTTGTAATGAAAAATATAAGTTAAAGTGAGGAGTGTACACTTTGTATTCAGTGTTGTAACTGAAATCAGTATATCTGAAAATGTAGAAAAGCATCCACAATATTTAATAAATCTAAATTGGTATTCTACTGGTAACAATAAAATTGATCAAAATTTTTATAACAATTAATTTGTTTGAGATAATCACGAGTTAACCGCAATTAATCAACAGCCCTAATTTTTATGTCTGTTTTTGTAAGCAAGTAGTTTCTAAGTGATGTGAAACTTGAGGATACACAAGAAAAATCAGGCCTTATCTACATCAGTCTACATAAGCTATGCAAAAGTCGACATACTCTCTGTGTCACCTTGCATGCAGTAAGGTCAGCAGGGAATGCTCAGAGATTGATTTATGGTGTCTGACTAGATGCAATAAATCCATAGCTGGTGGACTGATGCTGCAGCATCAATACACCTGGTAGTGTAAACAAGGCCTCAGATTCCTAAAAGGGTACAGTAGTCTGGAAAGGTTGAAATACACTGAGTTAGGGTCTGGCTGCATTAAAAAAGCTACAAAAGTGCAGCTGCACCCACTGCAGCACATCAGAGTAGACTACATTACCCAGCACTAACAGGAAGGATTCTTCCATCAGTAAGTAAACTACCTCCCTGAGAGGTGGTAGCTAAGTTGATGGAAAAATTCTTTGGTTGACCTAGCACTGTGTACACCAATGTAAGATCTATATATCTACACTTCGTAGGGATGTGCAGTTGGATTTTTCACCCCCCTGAGAGTTATAGTCTGAGGGGTTGCCATGTTAGTCTATATCTATAAAAACAAGGAATCCTATAGCACAGTGGTTTCCAACCTTTTAAATCACAATATCACTTTTTCAATATAAGTGTAATGTAAGATCTACCTCAAACCCAAATACCCTTGCCCCCCTTCCTTCCTGCCCCTTTTCTGAGGCCCTGCCCCTATTCACCCCTTCTCCGAGGCCTCACCCTGCTCACTCCATCCCCTTTCCTCCCAAAACTCATTCACTTTCACCAGGCTGGGGTAGCGGGTTGGGGTGCAGGCTCTGGTCTCGGACCAAGGGGTTTTGAGTGTGGGAGGGGCTCTGGACTTAGCCCAGGGTGTGGGATTGGGGTCCAGAGGGGTTTCAGGGTACAAGCTCTGGGAAGGAGTTTGGGTGCAGGGGGACGCACATCTGGGGCAGGAGGTTGGGTGTAGGAGGAGGTTCAGGGCTGGGACAGGGGTTCAGGAAGCAGGCTCTGTCTGGGCACTGTTTAACTGAGACAGTTTCTGGGTGGTGGAGCAATGAGGTTAAGGCAGGCTTATTCCTGCCCTGGCCCTGCAACACTCCTGAAAGCAGCTGGCATGTACAGCAATGGCTCCATGGTGCCATGTGCTGCCCCTCATCTACAGGCCCTGAGCCCACACATTCTACTGGCCATTACTGATCAGTGGGAGCTACAGGAGCACTGTCTGCAGGCAAGGACAGCATGTGGAGACCCCCTGCTCTGCCTTTCTCAGGGGCTGCAGGGACATGCCAGCTACTTCCATAAGCAACAATTACCACAGGGAGAATTACTCCAGCTGCTATAGGTTAGGCATTTTAGAACTCACTACTGAAAGAATTAAATTTAAGTGTAAGAGAGAAATTAAAATTATGAAATGCACAGATCAGTCAAAAACCAAAATAACAGACTTTGCAAGCAGTACAAGAAGTAACAACAACTCCCCCCCCCCCCAAGTTTGTGGGTTTGCTGGATTGGGAGATGAGCATAAAGGACAGGGCATGTTTGTGAGAATGACAAACACACACAGTGTGTGAGAGTGTCAGAGATTTTCATTGCCAACCTCCCTCCATCCCCTTCTTTTTGTAGAAATGGGGTACAGAAGTGGGGGGAGAACATCAGCATTCCCTGTTTTCTCCCTCCCACCCCCTGCACAGCAAGTAGGAGGCTCCCAAGGTGGCAGCTCCAAGGCAAAGGGCAGGAGTAGCATGAGGTGTAGGGACAGCATTTGATAGCATCCTAACCAAATCAGTCAGGATCACCTGTCAGAGGCTCCAAGATCTATCAGTCTATTCCAATCCACTGGTTGGTGACCATTTCTGTAGCACCTTAAAGACTAACTGTTTTATTTGGACATTAGCTTTCGTGGGTAGAAAAACACTTCATCAGATGCAACAAATAAATCTGTTAGTCTTTAAGGTGCCACAGGACTCCTAGCTACACCAGACTAACACGGCTACATTTCTATCACTATTCTACACAGGGTATGTGATTTATAGCACAAGGTAATGGGATTAGCTGCTGATGAGTTGTAATTTGGGTTGTTGCATTCCCACAGTACTACCAGCTAATGCACCAGGATCACAGGAGGGAGTTTCAACTAACCCCTTCTTGAGTTTAAAGCACCATTTAATCTGACCTAGAGTTTTTTGTGTGGGGACATAGATGAGTTAGGTGTAACATTCCAACTAACTGTGTTAAGAAATCACAACCTGGCTGAGTTAAGTCTATTGAGATAAATAGAGAGAAGTTCACACCTCTCCAAACTTTTGTTTCATGCTCTTAACGGATAGATGTTATTTCATCAGCTACACTAAGACAATGTCTACACTGGAAGAGGTAAAGGGATGGCTCAAAAGTGAAAATGCAGAGTATTGTGACCACACTTGCACTGGCTTTCAGAGCGCTGCACTGTGGACAACTATCCCACAGAGCACCCCCTCCTCTTCTGCAGCTCAGGGCCGGATTAAGGGGGGGGCTAGCCAGGTAGCTGCCTGGGGCGCCAACCTATGGGGGATGCCTGATGGCAGCTGTAAGGGGCACCATGCACCGCCCCTTAGAGCTGCCATCAGACACCACACGCCCAATTGCAGTTGTAAGGTGCACAGCGCGCTGGGGCTGCGCATGCGCCGTGCAGCGGAGCCGTGCATTCATCACGCACCCGCTGCCCGGGGCGCAGGAATGGCTCAAGCCAGCCCTGCTTCTGCTGCTGACTTTTATGGGAAGGCAAAAGGAGACCAGGGTCATCCTAAATCATTTCACGTCCCAGCAGCCCATGTGCTTCTGTCTGTATTTGGCCCCATCTTTGAACAGCTTTTGTGCTGTGTGCTCTGCCTCCTTGGTCTGTGGGAAAGGATCCCCAGCTGTTGAAGAAAATGCTGATAGGTCTCACTAACACGGTAACAAATGACACCAGAATGTTGCAAATAACCAAACAACATGCTTTAAAGGCAGGTGGGATTTTTTAAAAGATTTAAAGAAAAAATGTGCAAGTATTTTAAGACGATTCCAGAACCTCAGCACAGTGCATCTATGATTAACCTGTATCTGCAACCCCCATAATTTCATATTGCCATAACCCCTATTCTTTCTTTCCATTACCCCTTTCATTGCCCTCATTTATTATGTTAAGTCTTAGATTGGATGATTCACCGCAAAATAGAGAAATAAAGGAACAAAACCTCACTGTTACCATCTTTCCTTTTCATGCTTGTCCCCACCTTCTACCTGCCTGGCTCTCCCCAGTGGGAGTCCTATTCTGCCCTCCCTCCCTGAAGTCCCATGCACATTTCTACCTCCAAGGCCAATTCCATCCCTCTCTTCCCAGCCTCCCCGTGCTTTGTTGCCAGACTTGCCCAACTCCCTTTTCACCCCAGCTCACTCACATGGAGAGAAAGTTTTGTTCATAGTGCCAGCCCCACAATCTCTGGCAGGAGGAGACTCCGCTTCTCTCCAGATGGTGGTGGTCCAGGCTGCTGCACCCTCAGTGACAGTCTGTGTGACTACACGCTCCTGGGGTGGAGGGTCCAGGGTGGAGATGGAGCCCTTAGCTGCCTGGCTGAAGAGTGAATGGGTGACAGGGAAGGGCTGAAAAGCCCACTGGCCAGGCACTGGGGAGGGCCAGAGGAGTCTGTACTGTGGGCAAAAAAGTGAAGTCCCACCACAGCCAGCAAGGGGAAGCTCTAAAATCTTGGCTTTGTAAAAGCAGAAATAGTTCAAAACTCAAAGCTAAATATACCATCCAACAGCTTCACTGTATCCTGAATAAATGCAAACAGCACCTCTGATACCACAACCCTACTACTCAACCCTCACAGGGGAACAGCTGAGAGAATAAAGTGAAAGAGAACGAGAGAGAGAGAGAGAGGGCAAAGGAGACAGGGAAAGGGAATCCGTTTTTGATGTCATAATTCTATCAGATCATGAATTTTTCATGGATGCCAACTAGTTATAAAATAATGCAGTACTGACAACCTTAAATGTTCAAAAATCATAGTATAACTCCAGAATAATGGAATTTTAATAAGTTATTAATATAGGGCTTATTTTATTTCCTTCTGTCTTTTCAGTTTTCAGGGTGTTAATTTTCCAGCTTTTGTCTGCAGCCCTCAGTGGTAGAAACTTTTTCTTAAATTAAAGCTGAGATTCCCATCTAATTGTGTCTCCAGGAGTTAGAACTTTAAGAAAAATGTGATATATTGCAAAAGTTGCCATGAAATCACAAGAACTAGCAAAGCTGAATGCCATTCCCACAGTATTTGTTTTTGAAACACTAAGATTTTGCTACAAAACAGACAAAAACATGATTTCAGTTGTGCTTATTAAATACTTTTTAAAAAATTGTTTGCAATCACATCTCTGCCGTCTACTACAAATTAATTTAAAATGGTAAACGAAGGCCAATGGCAAATGGGGAAAATAAATGGGTAGAATTGGAGCTGACTTGTGGGCATCCTATTAATAGTTTAAGCTAAACATTTTATAAACTAAATGCAAGGAATGAACATAACTTAAAATGTCAATGACCAAAATCAGATTTTCTACCCATAACAAAAATTCAAATTCTATGATTCTATATAATGGCAACTTTCATTTAGGCTTTTATCCTGCAATTACACTAGTGCAGACCACTACACTTGCATGAAATGTCAGTGAAATTAGGGATTCTTGATAAGTACAGGGACTGTACAAGTACACCTATTGCAGGAACAGGACTTTAGATTGTATATTCCTATTTGGGAACTAGCCCTTCAAATACTTATGAATGTGACTGATTTACTGAGTAAATAAAGTTATTAATGTGTTTTGCAGGACTGGAACCTTAGATGTTAAGATCATCAGGGTATAGCATCTGGCAAACCTGAGTGTTTAATCAATGTTTAAAATACATGTATTGAAATAAAAATCAATTTAAGAATAACAATAGGGTGTGCTTTGGTAGGGTAGTACCTAGCTATTCTTAGACCAGCTGAGCTGAAGGTAGCAGGTCATGTTTTGTGGCCCAGAGACCCCTAAACTGTGTATAGGAGTTACACTTGAGATAATTTTAACCACAGTATTCTTGAACACCGTTCCACCTGAACTCCTCTGGAAATGTATCATTTTGGTCTTAAGTAATGGAAGAGAGACATTTCTCCACAATTGTGCTAGCCAACACTAAAGCCTTTGAGATTGCAATTTATAGGAAAGAGATTTTTATAAAGTACTGATATTTCTATCCCTGATGAATTGAGTATGCAATGGGGCCAGTGACTTTTCCAAGGTTAAGAAGTAATGAGATTTTGTGTGAATGCACAGAGAGAATTTTTGAAGTAGCAGCCGTAATTTCTGAAAGGAGAAATGTGCTACTGTGTCTGAAACGTCTTTATTCCTGTCTTTGAATACGAATTCCCCTTATCAGCAGCTTTTCCTCGTATCCAAGTGGCTTGTCATTTAAAACCCAACCTGCTTGGGTACCAAGCAGTGAGGAGGATCCAGGTCGTTGCCCCCGATCGGTCACCCCCTCACGCTATAGATCTTTAGGCTGATAATTCAAAAATGGAGGATGAGTCCTCTCAGCCATTAATTAATAATGTAGCTCTCTGTCTTCCTGTGTGACACACACGAGAAGGCACTGAGCGGCCAATAAAGATGTAGGGTAGAGAAGTGAAAAGCTCCTCCCAGCAGCTCTTCCTCATTGAGCTGAAGTAGATCAAAAACTTCCCAGGAGCTGAGGGGGAAAGACAGCAGAGCAAGAGGAGGAAAATAAGCAAGGAGGAGAAGATCTCCGTACCCCCCACCCAGGCAAAAAGGGGTCGGGACCCTATTAAACAGACGGTAGGTAAGAGGAGGAAGACCTCTTTATATACCACTCCGACGGGCGGACAAGGAAGTTCCCATTACGCACCCGCCGGGAATGAGAAGGGTGACCCCACTATGCCCCTCCCGGCCGGCAGAGACGCGGACGTGGGGGAGTCCCACTGGCCACTAGCCCGGCAGGAAGCGAAGGAGGAAGAGAAGTGATCACCGCTCCCCTCCCCCCCGGTTTGCTGAGTAGGGGTTGGGAGGAGGCGGCGAAGGGGGAGTGGAAGTTGGTGTCCGACCCGGCGTGTGCAGGTCAGAGGCGGGGAAGGGGGTGACCCTGTGGCCGGGGAACCGGTGGAGACAAAGCGCGATCGCAGCAGCCGGGGTATCCCCGAGCCGAGCACGTTGTGTGACTCCAGGGGGAGGGGGCCGCCTCCGCCTGCTGCTCGGCGTCATGGCCCCATTGTGAGGCAGGAGGAGGAGGCGGGGGAGGAAGGATCCGTAGCTCCCTCCTCGCAGTCCCAGGCCAGCAGGGCTGGAGGGACACGCCGGGCCCCGCTCCCTCCTCCCGGGCCGCCGCTCGCACTCACTCTCCTTTTCCCTCCAATTTGAAGCGGGCCGGGGCAGGAAGGAGCGCGCGGAGCGGGGCGATGCCGCTGCTGCACCGAAAGCCCTTCGTGAGGGAGAAGCCCCCCGCCGACCTGCGGCCCGACGAGCGCGTCTTCTACTGCAGGGTCACCAACGAGATCTTTAGGGACTACGAGTAAGAGACGACCCCCCCCTCCTGGTCCGCTTCCCCTTCCCCGGGCGGGCCGGGCAGTTTAACCTCCCGAACGGCTGACATCTGGGGTGGGAGGGGATTCCCTGCCCGGCGTCCCGGAGACACTCCGCTGGGAGCGCTGTGGGCGGCGAGCCCTGCGTCTCCCCGGCTGGGGAGGGCGCCCCGCGGAGACCGGGATCCCCTCCCCGAACCCGCCTCACCCCCGGGGTCCCGTCAGGCCCCACGGGGAGGCCAGTCGCCACCCTGGCTCCTGGGGCGGCGGGGAAGCAGCGGGCGAGCTGCCTAGCGTGCGGTGTCACTATCCGGGCGCCCCGGCCGCGGGCCGCCAGAGGCAGCCGGGAAGTGAAAGTTGAGCGGGAGGCAGTTAAGTGCCTGGCCCGGCCCCCAGCTCCTTCAGGGGCGCCCGAGCCGCATGTCGGCAGCTACTAGGCCTCGCTGCGTGCGCCAGCCCCGCCCACAGCCCCCAGAGAAGGGGCACAACGGTCACCGGGCCGCTGGCGCTGAACAGCCGCGCGCCTAACTCGGGCTCGGCGGCGGCCGGGCCGCGGTTTAAATAGCGCCGCGGGGGAGCGGCGGCCCCTGAGTGCGGGTCGAGCAGCCTGACATGTGCTGCTGCCTCACTATTGTTGTCGTAGCAGCCGGGCCGGGGTTGTGGGGGGCGCACCACGCGGAGCCATTTCAGCCCCCACCCTCTCATTAACCCTTTCCTTGTTCTCGCCCGGGGTTGCCGCGCTCCTGCCGCGCCGCCAGCCTCGCCCCCGTCAGCTCCAATGCACTGCCGGGTTGAGAGTTGCTGAGTGACCGTTTGAACTCCCTCCCAGCTCCTGGTCTTGAACGTGCCCTGTCTCGGCGCTTGCATCAAGCAATAGTTGGGGGGTTCTTTCATCAGCTTTGCAGCCCTGACACTCGTCCTTTGAGACTGAGGAGGAGGATTGCTGGGGGCGAGGATGTTGTATCTGTCCCTAAGGGCATTAATGTCAGGGTATTATAGTAGCATCTTTAATTCCACTTTGCAGGCTTTCTGCTCACAGCAGCCTCTTAAGGTAACTGAGATTTTCCGTGTCAGAGGAACGCCAATTTAATGCAGTAAAAATCACCCAAAACAAACCCAACGCAGTTTCCAGTAGTGTGCAAAGCCGCAGGTTTCCCCACCAATATTTATAGCTTGACAGCCATTTTTCTATTTGAATGTATTTCCCCTGTTCTTGTGTAAAAGACCAACAGAGATTGTGAAACAGTGTTGTCAAATGTACAAGACCTATGCAAAAAGCAGGAAAAATTATATTTCTCTGTTCTCACTCACTTATGCTGATTATGATTATTTTGTAGCAGCAGTGGGTAAAAATCTTTAGAAAGATAAGATTTTGTTTTAAAGCTGACTCTTTTAACTTTACAATCTGATCCAACATTACTTATAAGATATGAATGTTAATTAATCACTTCCACCCACCCACAAAATGTTCCCAAAAATCAAATTTTGTCTTACGTTTTTTTTTTAAAATAAATACTTTCTTTTGCAGTATGTGAAATTAGAGCACATGTAAATTTTACCATGCTTGGACTTGTTTTTGCTACTCAAATAGACTTCACCAAATAATATCTTAAGAGGAGTTGGATTGAATAATTTTGAAAGGGTCCTTGTGTTTCCTAAATTGTAGTGGAGGAGAGAATTAAAAAAAAAAAAGCCCGTAAAGAAAGTTTATTAAGTGTAGTTCAGAAGTGTCTGCAATAACATATCAAGGATATAAAAGGCAGGAACATAAGGACCTACGTTTTTCTACAGAATATAAGATTTCTCTTAATTCCACTATTTTGAAAATGTCTTTCATAAATAAAATTAGGGTGCATTTACACCACACCTAAACTTGAAATAAGATACGCAATTTGCACAGTGTAAATTGTGTATCTTATTTCAATTCTAATTTGAAATTTGGTACATCTGCACAGCGCCAAATTTTGAAAAAACCCGCACTATTTTGAGACCTCTCTTAACCCTTGTGGAACAAGAGTTACAGGGATGTTGAAATAGTGTACCCGTTATTTTGAAAAATATTTCAAAATAACAGGCGGCTTGTTAAGATGCGGAGTAGCTATTTTGGGATACTTCTGGTATCCCAAAATAGCCATGCTGTCTAGACGTACCCTTATTGTTATCACAGTATTATAACTGACTCTCATTAACAACCCAAATTAAAATCAAGTGTATATGTGTAGTTTAGAAAGACACTCAACAGAATGAAGCTTTAGTACCTCTTTCATAACTGCATGGAAGAGTTGTAAAGATTAAAAAAAAAAAAAAAAAGTCCTTCAGTATTTGGAAAGGGCCGAATTCCATGTTTTAATCTGGTTCCTAGGCTGGCTGGATCTAGAAATACATACTACACTCAGTTCTCAATTACTCTTTGCTCAGATCTGATGGCAGCTTGCAAGGATTAAATATGGCCTTCATGTACTAACTAAACTTTTAGTTACTATTTGTCATATTAGATATCACTCAGTGGGAAAATACTCTTTCACTTTCTGGACCATTGCTATATCTGCACTCACCTACTCTATTTCTTTTCCCTTTCCTTGATCTTTGATGGTTAGGCTGAGAAAAGGGAGTACAGCAATTCCTCATTTAACACGTGCCAGCTTAACACGTTTTTGTGATAGCATGATTTTTTTTTTTAAGGGAACATTTTTTTAATTACATGACTGTCCCCGGAATAACACCATTTCCCCAGGCGGCCCGTCGCTGGCGGCTGCGCAGGGCTTTCCCTGCCTCCCTGCAAAGCGGCAGAGGGTTTGCCGCTCGCCATGCCGTTCCCCGGCGACTTCCTCCCCCCGTTCCCCTTCGCTGGATGCAGAGCAGGTCCTGGCAGACCCATCACAGGGGCATACTCCCAATCCAATCCCCCTCCCCTCTCCTCCCCTTCCCTTCCACACACCCAAACTCCTTCCCTCCCTGCTGTAACCCAGTCCCCTTTCTCCCCCAACCTTATGTCCCGGTCCCAACAGACATCACCACTTGAAACGCAACCCCCACTTTTTCCATTATTTTCAATGGGAAAATTGACCCCACATAACACGTTTTCACTTAACACGATCATTTTCTGAAACATATCTATAGTGTTAAATGAGGAATTACTGTATGTTTTTGTTTTAAATCAAGTGGGCAATGTGTTTTGAAATGTCATTTAACACCTTTTACTGTCATAGTTTAACACCTTTAAAATTGTGTTAGCTGGTTGTGATGTATTCTAACTGAGAACTGAAGATCACCATCCACTGTGTTTTTAAAGGTGGTAGAAATCTAGTCTCTACTAGGGATGCCAAAATTAGTTTATATTGGCAAACGTGTAACTGCTGACATTTTCAGTAGTTAAACGTTTACATGTGGGAAGGAGGTAGGTGACTCCATTCCCTTCCCCTGCGCTGCTGCCTCAGATACAGGCTCATTGGTTAATCATTTACATGTTTACACTATCATATCCCTAATCTCCACTAATTGTAAAGTGATATTTAAAAGTGCATTTAAAAGTGCATAAGCTAATACATTTGAAAAACTTTTTTTTTCACAACTGCACAATAAGCCAGTGGAACTCATTGATGCCAGATATTATTGATGCCAGTGGTTTAGCAGAATTCCAAAAATAGTTGTATGTGTAAATGGCATACATTATGGTGACAACTGATTTGCTGCATTCCAGCTCTGGGAGGAAGGGGACAGAGCATGAATCAGGCAATTCTTATGCTCCAAAAGTGCAGGGAGGAAGAGGGAAGAGCAGGGAAGTGCGGAGCTCCGGTCCCAGTGTGTGAGAGGCGCATGGGAGAAAAAGACAGCCAGAGGGTCTGCAGACTGTAGGTGGAGCCCCATTGGGCTGCATGCAGCCAGTGGAATGCAGTTTGCCCATCACTGTTTTAGAAGCGCATTTCCTTTTTTTGCAAATGATTTTTTTCTCCATTTTGATGTGTGAAAAAACTTGCACAAAATAAAAGTGAACTACAGTGAAAGAGGATACAAAAAGTGGTGTTGTAGAGTGACTGAAAAAAAAGTTTTCCTAAAAGCTGTTTCATTCATGATAATCTGAGCTTTTATGTGTAACAGATGTACTTGTAGATTTTACTTGAGAGGTGTGAGGTTTTTTTTTTTAAAGTTAATAGTATTCATTTCAATAACATGTCTGTCCTTACAACTCCATTAGGAAAAGGTAGTAACCCTGAAAGGGAAGCTGTCACTTTGATTTTTGTTTCATGTGAATACATTTTTAATAGCTCCAGTTTCTGCATCTTTTAAACAGAATATCCTGAAACTTGTTTGTAATTTGTTTGAATATATTTTTTCTGATTTTCTGTTGATGATTTTTAAGAGTCTCCTGAACAGAGGAAGAATTAAGTGATAGGGAAATAGTGAAACTGTGCAGAAAGGCCTCCATCCTGCAAAGATTTAGTAAATATTAACTGTATGCATCAACAGTTACTTCTAGTTCATAAATTAAGCGCATACATAAGTCTTTTCAGAATTGGGGCCAAAGGTGCTGCTAAACACCCAAAGTAGAGATACTGATGTTCATTTAAGGAAATCTTCCGAATGTGTAGGAAGCCCCCATTTTGAAGGGGTGTGGCAGACTAGCTGGGAGACATGGTCAGACTTTCAATTGCCCTGTAGAGTCTCAGCTTTCATTACAGTAGTGTTTGTGTCTGGCTGTTATGGTTGCAGTGCAAACTTTGAGCAAGTGAAGCAAATGTAACAGATTCATGTGTGTCTCACTGAGTGTGTAAAGAGCCTGAAACAATAGCTGTCTGGTGTGAGCTACCCCATTCACTTCACTGGGTGCTAACTCTGATGATAATGATAATACTTTAAATGTCACCCATGTTAACCCAATTTCACTCATCGTCAAAGCATGCATACAAATGAATTGCATTATGAAGATGTGTAAAAAGTGTATCCCAAAGTATGGGGTGGCCATGATAGGCTAGCCTGGAATGACACAGACAATGTTACATTTGTCCTGTGTCTGAATTTATACAACACGGTGTAGGATTGAAGGGCAGAGGGGGAGAAGACTGATTGATTTAATTACGTGGAAGTGGCCTTCTACTCTTAAATGTTTAGGAAACACTGCATTCAGGAATAAGTATCACACTGTTAGTTGATCCACAATATGTAATATTTTAACATAACTATAATCTGCTAAGTGGCTTTGAGTCTGTTTACTTTTTAAAAAATCAACTATTCCATCTAGAAATGAATTTAACAAACCACTATTTTTGCCAGGTTCATCAAAATATTGTGATTAGCTCATCCTGCAAGAGCTGTTGAATAATCAATACTATAGATATTATGCTGGTGTACTAAACAGGAAGTAAACCAGTATAACCATGGTGCTTGCAATATTACTTGGAACACTGAAAGGGGGGGGGGGAAATCAGCATTTGTGAAATTGAAAAGGGAGATGGGACTCTGCAGAAAAAATAAGTTAATGCTTTTATAAGAGCAATGCAAAGAGCAATGAACAAAAACTATTTAAAAGAAGTGTTTGGCATTATTTTTTTAACTTCCCTAATGATGCGCTAGAATACTCAAAAGCACTAAAGTGTTTTGACTGCTGAAAAGCAAACTGGAACTTAAATGAACTTAAACCGTTTTAAGAAGAAAAACTGAGACTATTATATGCTTGTGCAATTTTAAATGCTGATTTTGTAAGTATATATGTGGATGGCAGTGTTAAATTTATACCCATGATTAATCTCATTGAACTTAGTGGGACTGTTATTTAAGAATGGCCATATTGGGTCCATCTAGCCAAGTATCCTGTCTGCTGACAGTGGCCAATACCAGATGCCCCAGAGGGAGGGATCACAACAGGTAATCGTCACGTAATCCTTCCACTGTCATCCACCTCCAGAGAAACAAAGGCCTAGGGACACCATTTCTACCCATCCTGGCTAATAGCCATTGATGAACCTAATTTCCAGGAATTAATCTAGCTCTTTTTTTGAACCCAGTTAAAATCCTAGCCTTCACCACGTCTTCTGGCAAGGATTTCTAGAGATTGACTGTGTGCTGAGTGAAGAAAAACTTGCTTTTGTTTGTTTTAAACCTGCTGCCTATTAATTTCATTTGGTGACTCTAGTTCTTCTAATCTGGGAATAAGTAAATAACTTTTCCTTTTTCACTTTTTCCATACCAGTCATGATTTTATAAACCTCTATCATATCCCCCCTTAGTCTCCTCTTTTCTAAACTGAAAAGTCCAAGTCTTTTTAATCTCTTCATATGGGACCCGTTCCAACCCCTAGTCATTTTTGTTGCCCTTCTCTGAACCTTTTCCAATGTCAGTATCTCTCTTTTGAGATGAGGCAACCGTATCTGTACGTAGTATTCAAGATGTGGGCGTACCATGGTTTTATATAGAGGCAATAAGATATTTTCTGTCTTATTCTCTATTCCTTTTTTAATGATTCCTAACATTCTGTTTGCTTTTTTGACGGACTCTGCACACTGAATGGATGTTTTCAGAGATCTATCCACAATGACTCCAAGATGTCTCTCTTGAGTATTTGTAGCCAAGTTAGTCCCCATCATATTGTATGTATAGTTGGGATTATTTTTTCTAACGTGCATTACTTTATATTTATCAGCATTAAATTTCATTTGCCATTTTGTTGCTCAATTACTTAGTTTGGTGAGATCTTTTTGAAGCTCTTCACAGTCTGCTTTGGTCTTAACTATCTTGAGCATTTTGGTATCATCTGCAAATTTTGCCACCTCACTATTTACCCCTTTCTCTAGATCATTTATAAATAAGTTGAATAGGATGGGTCCCAGCACAGTCTCTTGGGGGACCCCACTAGTTACCTCTCTCCACTCTGAAAATTTACCATTTATTCCTACCCTTTGTTTCCTGTCTTTTAACCAATTATCAATCCACAAAAGGACCTTCCCTCTTATCCCATGACAACTTGCTTTACTTAAGAACCTTTGGTGAGGGACCTTAAAGTATACTATATATACACAATTACTCATGTATGTGGACTTATTTGCGGGTCCTAAAGACCTGACTTTGCCCAGTTAAAATCACTGGGAGTTTTGTTGCATGTAGACTGTAGTGAGCAGATTTTGACCCTACAACAGTAGATTTATCAAGTACTGAAAAATTAGGGTGAACAGAAGTGGCAAAATGACCCTTTGAGTATTCCGTAATGAAGTGAGAACCAATAATGATGTGTTTTAGGTAGGGATGTTAAAATGTGTTTAATTATGTAAATAGTATAATCACTGAAAATTTGAACGGTTATATGCAGGGGGCAGGCGGCTACAGGAGATCATACACGTGGGGAGATGGCTTAAAAGCTGGTTTCCTGCATTTACCAGCTCCCACTTGCCTCCCGCCCCCATGCTTCTGCCTTTGATACAAATGTAATGACTGTAATTTAATTCTGGCGATCGTATTACTATCCACAACTGGAACAGAAGTAGTGTAGTGTTTTACTTTTAGACTTGTAGTGTGTTTTTCGCTTAGTTGGGTGAAATCTTGTAACACTGTATTAATTTTGGCTAAACTATAGGGATTAGCTAGAGTTCTATTAACTTTTCCTTTTTTTTCTTCATTATAGTGACTTTTTTGAACGAACCATTCTGTGTAACAGCCTCGTATGGAGCTGTGCTGTCACAGGTAAACCTGGACTCACATATCAGGAAGCACTTGAATCCGAAAAGCGAGCCAGACTTAATCTCCAGAGTTTTCCAAAGGCACTCATAGTTCCAGTTTTGTATTTGGCCACTCTTACACATCGCTCACGACTTCATGAGATCTGTGATGAAATCTTTGCTTATGTCAAGGATCGATATTTTGTTGGCGAAACAGTGGAAGTAGTTAGAAATAATGGTGCAAGGTAAACAAATTTTCAGTGCATTATTAATGAAATGTGTTTATACTATACCTATTTTTATTATTGATTTTTACAAAATGTGGAGTTATCAGTTCTGTAACACATTATTTGTAGGACAAGTACAAATCTCTTGCTAACCATGGGTACGTCTAGACTACAGGCTTTTGTCGACAGAGGCTTTGTGGACAGATACTGTCGACAAAGCTTCTGTCAACAAAGAGCGTCTAGACTACATCCAGTTATGTCAACAAAGCAAGCTGCTTTGTTGACATGAGAGTGTAGACACAAAGGACAGTTTAGATGCTTACATCCCTAATTCCGATAGGGTTTTTAAACTTTCTGCTCATACAGTATATACAAACATGTTGGGAACTGATAACAGTGCTTCTTTTTTATCCTATCTTTGTATGAGTTACAGAAGTTTTTAGTTAAGGAAATGAGTGGTAAAGCCATTACTATTAAGGGTTTGGAGAAATCCTGAACTTTATTGTTCTCAAATGTGGTAACTTTTGTATTTGAATCCATTAGTTTATAGTTAGCTTAAGTCTGTTAGTTCGGTTGAATTTTCCCTTACATTATGTTGTTTCTCTGAAGGGTCTGGAAATGTTTAATTTCAAGTCATAAACTTTGCAAAGATTTCCACATGCTTAAAATTACATATTGAATAGTTCAATTGGTGGGACTACACACAGTGTAAATAATTTATTTTCTGGATTGGGCTTTTGTGCTGTTAGCCTCCCCAGACCATGAAGTAGTAAGATGGCATTACCCAGCATTAGATCCATGACAAAATCCTTAATATGTTAGAGGGGGCAGGGCCAGCATATTTATTGGAGGCCCACCCTTTCATATGGTTTCTGGTTTTTCCTTTTTTGCCTGGCAGTACAGATATAGAAATAGTTGTATTATGGAGTAAAAATAAGATTTTAATCAAATGATTAAAATATGCATTCAGGTGCTCAAATGCAATGTTGGTGAATTCAGATGTCTTTTGAATTTGCCAAATATGCTCCTGCATTTTGTCATCTTCTTGGACCTAGTCTGCACCCCTGACTGATGTAGCTATGCCAGCCTAACCTGTTATATGAGTAGTTATGTTTATTGAAGAATGCTCGTATCTACACATTTCTTAGGGAGGTGATGTACCTGCTTGGTTCGAAAGCTCTCTTCTATGAATTTAGACTGCATCTGTGCTAGAGGTTTATGCTAGAACAGATAGGGCAGTTAGGGTGATGTAGCTAAGCCAGTATAGTATAAGATATACTTCAGAGTCTCTACTTCAAATCACTTGTTTTAGTTGAGCACTAGTTTTGATGTTACACATTATTTAAGCTTGTTTTATACAGAATGGTGGTTGGTCTCTTCTGTTTGTTAGTTGTAGACTTCAGACTTGGCTGAGCTGGTGGTCAGAGATTTTTCACTCTGCCTTTTCTGGATGTGTGGCTCAAGACAGAGAGCAAGAATACAACTTCAGGAGGTGGTGTTGGTTCAAGAGAATGTCCTAACATTATTTCCTCATGGTTAGTCTTTTATAGTTTGTGTTACCCTGCTTTGCCTTGGGAACTACCTTTTGTTCAGTTAGGGGTCCTAACATGTTGACTATAGCTGATTGATATCTTGATCTGAAGTCGGCATGGAATATTCCAGTATGAAGTGGACGCTTTTTTGCAAAATGTTTGTGATCACTAACAATGTCCTTTTTGGAAATGGACTTGAGAGTCCCATGTGAGAAGAAATTGGCAGCACTTACTGTGTAATGGAATAAGACCCATTTTAACCTTACTAAATATAAGGTTAATCATCAATTACTCTTTCACACATGACCATTTGTTTCTTGTGACAGCTGTTAAGCATGATGAGGGAAAAGGAACTCAGAAGTAGGCCATGGTCAGCCTGAGTGCACGGACTGCAGTGCCCTTGCAGCTAAATTTAAAGCCACTTCAGCATTCCTTATTAATACTAAAGTTCATTTAGACATTGACCAAATATCATTAACTAGGCCCAAACTCAATCAGGACAATGTTCCATATAGCTGTGTGGTTTCATATTGAACTATAAACCTTTTATAGGGCAGGCCTTTTAGATCCGCTATGAAGAGGCTGACTTTTTCTGAGTGATCATCTATAAGGAAGTACTCATGGGTTTATAGGCTGAGGCAGTATTAAGCAAACATCTACCCTATCGACTGTCTTCTCCTTCCACACAATCACTGAGTCCCAGTTGGTAAAGTTGGGTAGAAAGAGTTTCTGCAGGATGGGAAAGAAGGGAGACTAAGTTGTTGCTTCCCTTACTCAAACTCCCACACGTATTGACTCCTTTGGTCATTGGTCTCCTCTAATCCACTGTTTCTCAAAGTGGGCTGTGGTCCTGCCTGGATAAGCCACTGGTGGGCCTTTGCCGTTTTGAAAGTATTTGTAGTGAAGTTCATTGTTTCCAGCCTAGGGGAACTGCAGGAAGTGGTGCCATGGGCCACACTGCCCACCCTTGTTCTATGCCCTATTAATAACTAGTGTGCAAGCCATTGAAAATGTGGATAGTGTTTTGCTTTTCTTTGAAAAATAGACTAATAGGAATTCTTGATTGGTCTGTCAAGGGGCCGGGACTGTATGATTAGATTCCATTTATCTCTCTGAAAATGTGCCTTTTCTATTAGTTAGTTGCAGACCCATCACCACCCCTCTGCAACTGTTATAGAGAGGGTTGCTCTAGAAATAACAGGTGCTGGTGCATTGGCCACAAAGCGGTTCCATGACTTAGGAGAAGAATGATATTATTGCCTGTGCCTAGCTATTGCAGAACTTTCACACATCTTATTTGCTGGGAAGAGTAATTGCATCCAAATTAGTGACTTCATTAAAATGTGAACAGATGTTTAATTTATGGTTTACAATTATTAGCTGCATGTCTCGAGGAACATAAAGTAGATAAATATGTATACCTTTCACAAAGTAATATTTGGAATGTGAATCCTTCATTCACTTTTGCTAAACGCAGAGATCATGTAAAAGAGTAGAACATTGCAGAATCTTGAGCTCTGGTTGTCTTAAAATATAAGCTGTTGTGTAACATGGCTGTTCCAGGTCCTAATTCAGCAAGCTACAGGTATTTGAAGCACCTGTAGATCTTGAAGTCCTTTGCTGCAATGGGAACTTAAACTCTTAAGGTATTTTATTTTTAAAGCTATGTTGCGAATAGATATAAAGTAGACAACCTCAAATATCTCTTCTAAACTGATTTAATAGAATTTACTGGAGATTCTCAGAAAATGAATTATGCATAAGAATAATTGTTATATGGAAGACAGAGCACTGCTCTTCTTTTCTAACTTACCTCCTCACTCTTTTTGTTCCATTTATCTTCTCACATGTTGCTCATGGAAGCTTTATGAGTTACCTATTAGACAGAGGATGCAGCTGTTGTAGCCAAAAATATATAAAATGAGTAAGCTGGACTATCCAGGTCAAAAGGCATTACCCTTTTCCTCTTGCCCTAACTTCTGGGAAGTGTGAGGATATGGGGAATCTTACCAGAGTACTGCACCTATATCCATATGGTGTTCCATATCTTATGACTGCTAGGGATGTCAGCATGTAGCCTTGGCTTATCAACTACATGCACTCCCTGCAGAGGCATCAGGGGGAGCAATAGCCAGTGCCCATGAGGAGCTGGCTTTAAGCAGGATCTACATGAGCAGTGTATCTGCCTCCCACCCCATCATCATCATGTGGAAGATGTACAGTGGCTGCAAGCTGGAGCCAGTACATGCGGGAAGCTTGCTTTTAGCTCTCTGTGCATGCCAGCTCCGCAGACCCGCCTTTCCCCCACCTGCTACCTCTGCAAGTGGGGGCAGGCAGAAGCTGATACTTGCCCTCCTTGCCCCCCACGCTGTTTCCTCTATCTCAGGCAGCAGTGGAAGGGTGGGGGAAGCTGCTGCGAAGCAGCATCTGTCCGTGGGAAGTGGAGCAGCCTCTGGCTACAGGGAGCTTGGACCCCTGCGAAGAGGGGCTGCTTTCACCCCATGCTGCCTCCTGCCTGCCACCCCATGCTGCTGCCTCTGAACCAGGAATGGAGCAGGAGTGCACTGGTTGCCATCCCTGCCCCCTGGGGACTATCGAATAGTCGTGTTACTGGTCAGTTTTCATGCAGTTACATGACTATTCAATTACACTATATCTAACACCCCTAATGTCTGCCTCTATGTAGCAATGGGTGTCTGATAATGAAATAGCCTCCTCTTTCTGCAACCCCTCTGGCTGCTGCAAGGAAGAAGCAGAATTCCTTCACTCTCCTGTTTTACCCTCATTCCATCCCAAAACCTCCTGGCTACTACTACATATGTGTGTGTCTTCTGTTCTTCTTTTTCACTACTTTTCATCTCCACAGCCTCCATTTTTATGTCCTCTGTCTAAATGAATAGGTCTAGTGCTTGCTTCTGGTGCTGTTCATAGTCTTATCAATCAGCAGCAGGTTGAGACTGACTTGTTATCAATGATTCACTGACAAAGTGGGAGGGTGTATTAGCACCAGGGTCAGTTCTGGATGTGGTAGTGTTCAGAATTTTCATTAATAACTTGGATAAGTCAATGGAAAATATCCTTATAAAATGTGAAGATAATACCAAAACCTGGGATGGATTGCAAGCACTTTGGAGAACAATAATTAGAATTCACAACAACCTTGACAAATTGGATAATTGGTCTAAAAGCAGTAAGATGAAATTCAATAAAGACAAGTGTAAAATTCCTTTGCTTAGGAAGGAAAAATCAAATGCACAGCTACAAAATGGGAAATAATTGGTTAGGTAGAAGAACTGCTGAAAAGGATAAGTGGGTCATAGAGAAGCACAAATTGATTGAGTCGTCAATGTAATGTAATTGAGAAAAAGGGTAATGTCATTCTGGAATATATTAACATGAGTGTTTTATGAAAGACAAAGTAGGTAATTGTCCTGCTGTGCTCAGCACAGGTGAGCAATGTTCCCTCTAATTTTGTCCATCCATATG